CGTGCGAACCCTCATCACTTGCTTTACTTGCCATCATCAACCGCCCACTCCAGTTTGACCTGGATCAGCAATGGCACCTCCGCCCTTCATTTCAGCTGCCCCTCTCGCAGCAGCGACCGCGGGCTGCCCGCCCCATGCTTTTCTTTTTCTTTTTCTTTTTTGCTTACAGTTCGTCCCTTACATACTACATAAGAGCCATATCGCCACCTCGTTTGTCGAGACCCACGATTCAACGACAACCGTGGTAGTACATGGACCGAGATGGCGGAGCGCTGCCTTCTACAGGAACCCAGCTCGTCCTGAGCCGCCAGAGCGGGTGAAAGCTGCATCTCTACCATGCATCAGAGTCCACCTTGTACATGTCGACACCACGATAGTGGATGGGGCCTCCAGCAGCATGTTGAGTCGGTGAAGGGATCAAGAGAGGGGGCCTGTAGGCGAACAGAAGATGCAACTGCCATGGCAGCCGACCTCGATACCCGTCGCCAACTCACCAGTCACACTATTAGTCTCGTCTGGATTTTTTCGACCGCGGACGGAGGCGGAAGCTCCCAATGCCAGCCGCCGACATTCGATGCTACTGTTCAGTGTGCCTGAGATGCGCTTGAGGTGTTCGAGGTCGAGGCTGTATGGCAAAGGCTAGAGTGGAGTGTTACGAAGCAGCCAGCTATCAGAAGCCAGGGATCGCCCTGCCGCGGATCCGCGTGGTAGCCCCCGAGGCCCCGCGACCCAACTTAAGCCATCCTCACAACAGCACAGTATGTCCTCTCAGTGCACAGCTAGCGGGGGCAGTGGTTTTGGACAACTTCCAAACGTTTGGGACGTCTCTCGGACTCCTCGTCATGCGTCTCGCCCGCGCCCGGCTGTTCCCGTGAATCATTTTCTGCGCCCTGTCTCGTATTGTTCCCCCGACTTTGCCCCATGGCCGGGCAGTCCATGCTTCACGGTCTTAAAATTTTCGACCCTTGGTCAATCTGGTGTTTGAAAAGAAGCCCGTTTGTCTCTTGGGACAGAGTCTTCAACCTTGGACCTCGAGGCGCTCGCTGGTTGATGTGCTGCGATTTGGGACAGACGAAGTTGGCTGGCCCTCGGCAAGTGCCAGAACGAGGTTCAGTTCTCAGGGGAAGACTTGGCAAATCGCTCGCCATTGGCTACGTAGTCGGCTGACTGGTTGGTAGGCGGCCATCTGCGAGTCGTCGCACTGCAACCTCAGCTGATTGGGTACTAGTTGCACCAGGACCCTCTAACGGGTCGCTGGCTGGCTGTCCAGTCACCCTGACTTTGGGTTGTCAGCCTGCCATCCCCTCACGCCAGCAACAGTATCGTATCAGTAGCGCGCCAGATTGATGAAAAAACCACGTGACACCCACACACTCCTGCCCCCCCGTGTGCCAAATCGGGATGCCCCACCCCATCGCGCATCTGCTCATCTTGGGACTACTGGAGTAGCAACTTGTCGTTAGAGGAAGGATATCGCAACTTCCAATTCAATCAGCGCGTCTCGACAAGATTCACCCTGAGAACCTACGTTGCGTCTTTGTGTGCATCGCATACTCGGCGGACGCCCCACTTATCCACCACCACCGACTAACGTTCAACATCCCCTTGGAGGCGAGGCTGTGGAGGTGGATCATGGCTTAACCTTTCCCCCCCTTCCGCCCTCCTCCTTCGAACGTCGCTATCCCGGCGCTCAGCGCGCATCACAATGCTCATGACAGAGACTGCTGCGTCGGCGCAATTTTATCCTCAGAAGAACAATACCCAGTACGCGCGCAAGAGATTGCCGCACGACCAACCCCTCGACTACCACGCCGAAACAGACCCGAGTCACTTGACAGCCACTTCCAACATGAATGGCATTGCGGGCACTGCCCCACAGGGCAACATGTACGTCCGCGCCCTGTACGACTACGAAGCGGAGGATCGAACGAGCTTGACCTTCAACGAAGGCGACGTCATTTGCGTTCTCAACAGATTGGAGACCGGATGGTGGGACGGCGTTTTGAACGGTGTGCGCGGTTGGTTCCCCTCCAATTATTGTGAGGTCATCACAAACCCGGACGAGATGCCGCAGGTAGAAGACGAACCATTGGGAGAGGAAGACGAACATGAGTTTGAAGAACAGTTCGACGACGAAGAGGACGAGTCGGATCACGATGGAACAAACGGGCTGCCTCTTGAGGGCACGCAACCTGGCGACAAGTCGAGAGCCGATTTCTGGATACCACAAGCAACTCCAGACGGCCGCTTGTTCTACTACAACATGATGACGGGTGACCGCAGCATGGAACTTCCTCTTGAGTCCCCCGTGTCGGCCAGCGAGACTGGGCCCCGAGACCGTATGAACGTCAGCATACCAGATCGAACACGCCCGCCACCTGAGATGATGGCCCGCGGTTTGACGCAGGACGAAGACGAGGATTCAGAAACCAACTCAGCATCTGAGATGGAGGGCGAGTCACTAATGCTTGCCTCTCGAGGTTCAGGGGTAATGCTCACACCTCTCGATCCACTTGCCGCTGGTGAAAATTGCTGACGTGATCTTATGTCCCGCAGACTCGCAATCGTCGCTCACATAACGAGAGCAGCCTGTCGCCTTCAACCTCGATGGACTCTATGAATGGAGCTTCCCCCGCGGCCCGTCTGAAAGGCGATCCCTTTACCACCCAGACCCTGGGCGTGACACCAACACCCATGATCGCCTCGGCCACTTCGTTTACCAGCACGTCATACAATGCACCGCCAACAAGTACCGTGCCGCGCTCGTTCTTTGACGATGGTTCGACTCCACCCTTGACGTGGACGCGCCTTGTCTCCAACATGCGACGAGCCGTAGATCGCTATCGCGAAGCCATAACAAACAACAGTCGCTCCGAGTATGTCGCACGTGCCGAAGACATCTCAGATCATCTTAGACTGCTTCTTGCCGCTGGATCTGGTACTACGGACAACCATTCCGGTCAGCCATCAATTATATCGACAAACAAAGCCCTCTACCCTCATTTCCGAGACATGATGTCCAAGTTCTCGAAGCTCGTCATCTCTTCTCATATCGCTGCCGCGGATTGGCCAAACGCCGAATCGGTCCAGAAATGCCTGCAAGAAGCCGATGGTGTCCTGCTTGGCGTCTTCAGCTACGTTGAGATTGCTCGGCAGCAGCGTGGAGAGGAAATTCCACGACTGTTTCCCGGGTTCGTCGTCGGCAGTTCCACGGGTGGCAGTTGGCAAAATAATGGACTAGGACCACGGGACCCCATTACCGCGAATTTTCTTGAGGACGAGGAGGGCGTCATCGAGCCTACTGCTGGACTAGACGGCAAGCTGCTTGAGAGACTAGACGAGCTGAAACGCATGCTCGTCTTTAGTATTCGAGAGCTGGACAAGAACCTCGTCGTTACCGAAAAGATAGTGACGCCTTTCAGACACGAGGTCATTGGAAATAATGTCTGCTCGGCCGGGAGCAAA